GAGGCTGGGAAGGGATGTGAAGGGTAAAAAAGGAGGGGTCAGCAATGCTTGATAAGAAATATACGTATTATCCTGCCCATGTAATTGTAACCCCTCTGTACAGTATGTTCACAAATAAAATAAAATTAAATCCAAAAAAAAAAACAACTCTTTCATGTTCTTACCTACTATTTACTTTTCCCCTCTCCACTCAGGACGACCCACTACCTTAATGGAGACCATGAGTAAAGCAGAAATCTGGCTTATTCGATCTTACTGGGACTTGGAATTCCCTCGCCCAACTTTACCAAATGTTGACTTTGTTGGAGGACTCCACTGCAAACCGGCAAAACCCTTGCCTAAGGTAAATAGATAACCTTTTGTCGGTGTTATTTCATTTCCTTTTCAATACATATGGTTCTGGACCACTCAATACAAGTCTTTGTTTACAGTGAAAGAAATACAGGAAGTGGGGTAAAGCATTCTACCAATTGAAACCAATTTTTAAACCATCACAAGTTTCTGGATCTCAGAAAACTTAGAGTCATTCAGAACAAAGTCAGCTTAACTAAGATTTAATGAGTCAGCACCTAGAAGGAATCCTTGATTCACTCATAAAACTATCAAGTGATTTGCATGTAAAGAAATAAGTATTAGACATGCAAGGAAACAGTGCAGCTATTTCTACTACAACCCTTAGTCAATTTAAAAGGAGACTTTAGAATCAATTAGTAAAAATTATGTGAAATCATGTTGGAAAGGAAAAATTACAATATTAAAGTAACATCTGATAGGAATCAAAGAAAGTTTCTCCATCACTAATAGTGAAATATTACATGAACAATGCTCAGAAATCAGTTGAGAAATGAGAATTGATAAAGATATATAAAAAAGAAATTAGACTAGTAACAACAATTTACAAGAACTAATCTTTTTTTTAATATTAAAAATTTTTATTGTAAAAATAACGTACAGAGGAGCTACAATTACATGACCAAGGTAATGAGTGCATTTCTATCAAGCATTGTTGCCTCCTCCTTTGTTTCCCCTTTCCATCCCTGCCCTCCCATCCCCCTGCCCCCCCATGGCTTTCCCCACCTCCCACCCACTGCCTACAAAGTTGTAAAGTTCATTTTTCCACATAAAGTCTTGTACATCTCATTGTTGCAATGGGTCTACCTGTATCCCTATTTAAACAATTTGTTTTTTCTCTTCCCCTCCACAAATTATACCAACATCAAATACAGTGAAAACAGGGGTTATACCATGGGACATACAAACAACAAAGAAATCATCTTATAAAAATGTTAGAAATAATAGCAAGAAAGAAAAAACTGTTGAGTCCTTATCTTGGGGTTCTTTTTGGCTAGCATCAACTTATCTGACCATTACTGCTTGTCTCAGATGTATACTAGTTATTGTAAATAAGGGAAACCACGGGACCCATGTTTCTTTGGGCCTGGTTTACTTCACTTAATATAAGGGGAAAATGATAGAGAATAATTTAGACTCAAGATGGAAATATTTGGAAATTTTATTGCACACTTGTGCCAATATCTGATTTAATACTACCTGTGCCCTTACTATTAGCTAATGGAAAATTTTGTGTTTTATGTATCTTATTGCATTTTATGTATCTTCTTTCGCTATTGTATGATAGTATTTGATTTTTCTCTCCTAGTTTTCTATTAATGATTTTGCCTGTCATAAGAAGGGTTTGAACTCAACTTGGACATTGTCCCTGAGCTTCATTGCTCAAGTCTAGCATTCTATCACTTGAGTCACAGCTCTGCTTCCAGCCTTTTCTTGGTTAATTGAAGCTGAGAGTCTCAAAGACACTTTTTCCCAGGCAGACTTTGAACCATGATCCTCAGATCTCAGCCTCCTGACTAGCTAGGATTACAGGCAAGAGCCACCCATGCTTGGCTAGTTGGATTAAGCGATATTTTAAATGTTTGCTTCACTATTACTTTTGTGTGTGTGTATGTGTGTGTTTGTGTGTGTGTGTGTGTGTGTGTGTATGTGTGTTGAGGCAAAGTTTTTCTTCACAGGAAATGGAAGACTTTGTGCAGAGCTCTGGGGACAGTGGTGTGGTGGTGTTTTCCCTGGGGTCAATGGTTGATAACATGACAGAGGAGACAGCCAATGACATTGCATCAGCACTGGCGCAACTTCCACAAAAGGTGAGATAGTGTACTTCAACAGTGGTCTTCACTGAATGGACCTTCAACTCTGCAGGTTTCTGATTGCACTAGTTTCCTGGTGAAAGATACACTGTTACTACAGCTCTAACTTATCTTAGCCAGTTTAAAGACAAAGCAATGCATCACATATGCTCAGATAGCATTCAATATGGATTGTTTTATATTTACAGTAAGTACAACATGAACCCTATCATCAGAATAAACACAATAGCCAAAGTATGAAACTTTGTCTTTATCATAGCATTGCCAGCAAGACTTCACAGACATCCTGAAATTATCATCTAGTCATAGCAAGAATGTTAAAGCCTCTCAATAAACTAAGCAAGTTTCATAAAGAAATTAAATTACACTTGATAAGTGACATCATACAATAATAATTAGCATGTAGATAAAAGGTTTGAAATGTTCTACATAGTTTAGGGTTCACATGTAATCCTTTCCTCCAATTTTCTAATTGACCGACTTAGTGTGCACTTGAAGGGGTTCTTCAGAGAAAGGCAAAAGAAGGTTCACTCCTCCTGCCAGGTATGTATTCAGCCTGATTAATTCAGAGAAAGTAAATACAGACATCCTGCCCTACAGAACTGGGCCTTGTTCATATATGAAACAAGGTCTGTACAGTTCATGTGAAAAGGGACATATTCTACTGAAAAATATATGTAGCATCAGTAAAATTTGGATTCCTTTCAGCAGCCATATGACTCATAAACTACAGGCCAGCTCCATTTCATACATTTAAGATTTTTACCACAATAATGATTGTAAGTTTGGATGTCACTATCATCAATTTGTGATCAAATTTCAGCTTGCAACTTTTCCTTGATGTCACAACTAATAATTTGTAATATAAAACTATTTTCATGTAATTACTAGAAAAGAATTAATGATTTATCATAAAGAATTGGTTACATAAATTTGAGGAATTTGTCTTTAGAAAAGATTGGATGAAAATAACATATGTTCATGTGCTGGTCATGAGGCAGGAAATGCAGCCTTAACATGCAGTACAACGGTGTGAGCTGTTGATCTGGGTGCCATGGAAAGGCCCAGTCGGTAACCACATAATTGGTTCTAAGGACCATTTGTCTGTCTGTCCAGATCAATGTGCCCAACCAACATTTAAGGGGGCTAAATGGCCAGGATACTAGCTACAGTTTTGTGAGTCCCTTCATAGTATGAATAGTATGTTAATATTGTGTACTAACTCCATAATGTCCAAAATTCTGTAATATAATCGGACTTAATACCATACTCATTATTGTGAAATTTGATTACATTTCTGGTCAAACAGGACAATATTTTTTCACATAACTTCTCTCCAGGGAGAACTGGGAAGGTAAAATAGTTGTTATAGATAGGCAGGAAAGGAGCAAATGAAAATGTGAAACTAAAATAAAATCTAATCGAATGAAAGAATATTACCCTAATATCATTTTATAATGGTTACTAGCTAAAATTAGCATTTAGTAAATATTTATGTGGTAAGATGTAAATCATAAGAGTTTTAAGTGCCGTCATCCACCAGATCTATTATTGTGACTACATAAAAATTTTGGAATGCATTCATTTGTCATTTATTACATCATCTGTCTAAATATTGTGAAAATTATGATGACATTCCATCTTATTGAGTGTGAAAATAAATGCAGGAAATGTTGATATTCTTTTTCTTTGTCTTATAATAGACCTCATTAATGAACCCTATTCTGTTCTCCTTATCCATTCTATGTAAGTCATTTAACTGTGTGATCTCTATATTTTAAAATGTAACATTTTGAAATTTAAAAATATTGTATCTCTATCCACCAGATTCTTTGGAGATTTAATGGAAAGAAACCGGACACCTTAGGACCAAATACTCAGCTGTACAAGTGGCTCCCCCAGAATGACCTCCTTGGTAAGACTCTGAAAAACACATGCTGAAAACATGAATAACTGTAGAAGTATTTGATAACAACATAACAGGAAAAAAAACTGGTGAAGATGTATTAATAAAAACTCAAAAATGAAACCACACATTTTTTCCTAAGGAAAAAAAGCAAAAATAGTTGGAATTTCATCATACTACATCATATTCTTTGTAATCTGTTTATCTTTCTGGCAATATATTTACCATTGACAGAGAATTTTCTATAATTACCTGAGGTTATCTCTCTGTCCTTTAATTCATCCTTACATTATCCATCCTCCTAAACAAGGGCAAGTATTTGCAATACCACTGAAACTTGCAACTTTCTTTTATTTTGAAGGAGTCTGCCTTCTATGTGGGAAAAATTGTTTCATATGAAATGATAATACACTCTATTTCAAGCATTCCTCCTTCATTAGATTAATGTACTAGTTTTAAGTTTATGGGAGCATAATCTAACATGACCATTTTCTTGCTTTGGAATTTGCTATGATCCATTATGTTGTTTTCCTATCTGTTCCACCGGAAATGGTATATTTGTTTTCAAATCTCAAGTCATACAAAACTTAGGGCACAAACCATAGGAATTTTATGTACATCTCCAGTTGACCAGAAGCTACTTGTAGAGTGACATCAAGGCAAATTAAATGTAACTCATTGGTTCAAGAATTATTATTTAGACAACACTGTTCTTTTCATTGCTCACGTTATACATTTTTCATTTCATGTCTAAGACTTTTAATGAACAATTGTATTGAAATGTCCCTAATCCTAGGCCATCCCAAAACAAAAGCTTTCATCACTCATGGTGGAGCTAATGGCATCTATGAGGCGATCCATCATGGGATTCCCATGGTGGGCATTCCTTTGTTTGGGGAACAACATGATAACATTGCTCACATGGTGGCCAAAGGAGCAGCTGTTCAACTAGATATAAGAGCAATATCAAGTAAAGACTTGCTCAGAGCACTGGAAGCAGTCATTAACAACCCTTCGTGAGTATAACCTTGATTATGTGTATGTGTGCATTTGTATGTAAGTCTGTCCTTCTCTTTGTTCATCTGGACATTGCACCCAGGGACTTGCTCATGATTAATGACCACTCTATTCGTTAGTCTGATGCTTGTTTGACCAAATTGTGATTATAGATAATTTCTCACATAAGTCTGACCATACAAGGTACCTCAGTTAAGACTTGATTAATTCTGGAAGATTCATCAATAACCCATCATGTGTTTCACAATTCACAATAATATTTGTGTGTGTTTGTATGCATGGTGTGTGTGTGTGTGTGTGTGTGTGCGTGCGCATGTGTCTGTGTCTGTGTGTGTCTGAATGTGTCTCTGTCTGTGTCAGTGTCTGTGTTGCAACATTTTGTTATTGTATACAGGCCAGGATTGCCTCAAACTCATGATCATGATCTGTCAGCATTTGGAATGCTGAGATTCCACAGACCCAGTTACATTTCCAACCATAATTTGTTTTGTTCCCCAGGTGATTTCAGTAAAAAGGAATTATCAAAACCTTGAGAATAGTGCAAAATTGGAGAACAGGCAAAGTGGACTGAAAGGAATCACTAAGAATGACAACAGAAGGATGCAATGAAGCTTAGGAAAGCAGTGAATTAGAGGCACATGAATTCTTCCTCCACAAATAACACTAACTAACCCATTCAGTTATAACTTTCTTTCCACCTAAGATTGCACTAGTTACTCTTTATAAAATAAAAATTCACTGTGTTTGAAAAATAGAGCATGAAGTTTAGGTGGTTGAAATTTTACTCTTGTGAACCACATGAAAATATCTGTCATTCAGTTTCTAGTTTTTGTTGTTTCTTCAAAACATCCTAAATGGTTTGTATTGTTAAACAGAAAGACAATAATCAAATTTCACATTCCAAGTATAAATGATTCCTCAAATATCTATGTTAATGCTTAGATTCTATCATTGTTAACTAACTACAGCTTTTAAAATTACCTGATTCATCCTGGTAGGAAAAAAGAACATTTTTTAAAAATGTATACGTATTCTTAGATATCAAGGGACTATGATTATCTTATTCAGAACAATCATAAAATAAAAAAAATTACCTTCAGAAGTACAAGTGAAATGTAACTGCATGATAACTAAAATATCTGAAGTAATAATAACTTGTTATTCAAATTCTTTCAATAAATAGGTAAAATTCATTTATACTATTCATTTCCTCTTATACTCAGTAATACTCTGTATGCAATTCTTCCCTTTCACCATAACTGTAAAAATAATGTAGTGTGTTTCACTTTATTGGATATAATAGTATAGCAGACACATTGTAAAGGCTGTGTTACTTTGATCATATTTGGGAGGTAGTGGGTTTGAACTCAGACCTTAATACTCAGATGTTTAGCTATCTAAAGGGCATTCTAGGGCTGGGAAGGTGGTTTAGTGGCACAGTGCTTGCCTTGCATGAATGAGGCCCTGGGTTCAATTCCTCAGCACCACACAAGCAGAAAAATGTGGGAGTGGCTCTGTGGCTCAAGTGGTAGAGCACTAGCCTTGAGTTGAAGAGCTGAGGGACATTGACCAGGCCCAGATTTCAGGCCCAAAACTGACCAAAAAAAAGGGGGGCATTCTATGACTTAAGCTATGGCTCTGACTTCATTCTTTGCTGGTTTTTTGAATGTAAAGTCTAGATACTTTTCTACCATTTCCAGTTTTGAGCTGTGACTGTCAGGACCTAGCCTCCTAGGGTAGAAAAGTTTTCAGGCAGGAGCCATCAGCATCTAGCTCTGACTTCCATTTTCCTACAGATATTGAGCACCATAACATATAGTTTGTGAGCCATATTTTATCTTCCTTTGTTTTGAAAGGCAGTGTATTTTTGTATTTTTATTTGCTATACAAATATATCTCTCATATACTGTTCCTATTAAATTATGAACAGATACAATGTTGATACTCAGATACAGGGGATTTCTTAACTAGATAGTACATGCTAAAACTTAGCATTAGCACACATTTCACTCATTTTTTGATGCATTTCCCTTTCTTTTTACCTGCTGTATTATAAAAATGATCACCACTAGTCCTGGCTGAAGCTCACCCATATCAGTGAGTTCTTTTTTAAATAATAGGGATACAAATCACTTTACTTGCCATTGCAATACTCTCCTTCTATAACACCTTGGAATTACCCTTAATAATCATTCTCTAGGCATGCCCATTATCACCTTACATACTAGAAAGAATACTTTCAACACAAATCCCATGTGCCTAAATGTGACTATAGCACCCTCTTATTGGGTCTAACATCATAATACTAACAAGAAAAATAACAGCAATGTTAGCAAATGTCTTTGATTGTCTATCTAAAAAGATGAATAATTAAAATCATCCTAAATATGAGTACATTTATTTCTCATAATTCAAGAACTCAATTATCTCTATTTTTCCATTTCCTATCTTTTCGCTGTATAACAGCAAACAAATAAAAACTGAGACCTTTCAAAAGAAGTTCATAAAAGGAAAAGGCAAGTCATAGAGTAAGAGTGGAACAGTAAGTGAAAGTTCAAGAAATAAGAAGAAGGCTACATGACAGCCAACAGCTGATGCTTGTGATTCCAGCTGTGATTCCAGAGCTGAGATCTGAGAATTGTGGTTTGACATCAAGCCAGGCAGAAAAGTCCCTCAGATTCTGATCTCAACTTAACATTCAAAAAGCCAGAACTGGATCTGTGGCTCAAGTGGTAGAGTTCTTCCCCTGAGCAAAGAAATCTCAAGGACAGTGTGAAGCCCTAAGACCAGAACAAAACAAAGGAGGCAGGGAATTTTGTAGTTAAATAATAATTAAGCACCAATAAATGATAAAGAGAGCCTTCAGGGGAAAAGTTATTGTTTAAATTATCTATCTCTATAGTATGATACAATTCTAAACATGCATTAATATTTAAGCTTTTATATTGCTGTGGATTTCTTCGATCATTCTACTTTTGTCTTCAGAAATTCTTGTGTTAACAAGATTTTTCTTTTTTTTTAATTGTAAAAATACCATACAGAGGAGTTACAATTACACGGGCATGAAAATGAGTACTTTTCTTATCAAACCTTGTTGCCTCCTCCTTTTTTTCCCCTTTCTGTCCCTTCCCATACCAACCCACCTCCCCCTCCAACCCTCACCCCCCACTCCACGACTTTAATAAGATTTTTCAAAATGGTTAAATCCAGGGTCATTAAGAAGCTCTTGCCTTTTGCCCTAACATGGCTAAAAATACAGCAGAAGAAAAGCATTTGCTTTTCTCTCAAAATTTTTTTAGAATCATTTGCACAAAATTTCAATATCTGTATTTTCTAGTTCATTTGATATACTTACATCAATTTGATTTACCTTTAGCTACAAAAAGAATGCTATGTGGTTGTCAACCATTCACCATGATCAGCCTATGAAGCCCCTGGATCGAGCTGTCTTCTGGATTGAATTTGTCATGCGCCACAAAGGAGCCAAGCATCTGAGGCCACTTTCCCACAACCTCACCTGGTACCAGTAGCATTCTCTGGATGTCATCGGATTCCTACTGGCCTGTGTGGCCACTGTTACTTTCCTTGTCTTAAAATGTTGCTTGCTTGTTTACCAAAAGGTTTTTAAGATGGACAAGAAGAAAAAGAGGGAGTAAAGCTTTCAACACCTCAGGAAATGGACTAAAAGCCTGCTAAGGAAAATCATTCTAGTGATTTTTAGCACAATCAAGCTTGGAAAGATTCTCCTCCACACTTTACCTAAACCTATGCCTACTGTACAATTCTAATGTCAGAGTTCCTCAAAAAGTTCCGTGTCACTGATTTTTGTAGATAGTATAACTGAATTAACTGGGACATATGGAAATTTGAGTTTGTTAGTTTAAGAGAAGCATACAATCCAAAGTTTTATGGGCATTTTCTAAAAAGAAATATTTTATTAAGAAAAAATGAAATGAACTTTTTGTGTGTCTGTCCAAAGAAAAAGAGAGGGATGGGTTAAAAGAGGTAACATTTTATTCAGACTACTGACATATGGGAGATAGTTGACAATAACTAAAGTAAACTTCTGCTAACTCAAAGCTAACTAAGATTTTCATAAACATAAAGAGTGAGTGAGAGGAAGTGAAGAAAGGAGACTTAAATGGGACTACAATCTATGTGAAGATAGTCAACTACGAAAGAAGTGAAAATTTACTGGAAAATGCCAGCTTTGGGTAGAAAAGTTAGAAGGTGTGCATTATACATGGTCACTGAGACATGATTATTGCTTTTGACCTATGGACAGATTTTATGAATGTAATGAATATAAGAAGATTAGATATCATTAAGAAGACGGTGGCTCATGCCTGTAATACCAGCAACACAAGAGGCTGAGATCTGAAGATCACAGTTCAAAGCCAGCCTAGGAAGGAAAGTCTAGGAGAGTGTTAACTCTATTAGCCACCAGAAATCAAAAATGGAACTGTGGTTAAAGTGAGTACTAAACTTCAGCAAATAGAATCCAGACCATGAGTCGCTGAGTTCAAGGCCCATTACTGACATAAATAAATAAACAAGCAAATAAATAAACAAATAAGGGATCTGATGGTCATTATGTTGTACATGTGTAATCCCTGTTCCTTAGGAAATGGAGATAGTATGGTGATGACTTGATTGAAGTAAAGATAAAACTGTATATACTCAAGCAAACATGAGACTGTCATTTTAATTCCACTGCTATACAATAGGAGGCATTAATAAAACTAATTATGAAAGTAACATTACAAAAAGAAATAGGTAAAGACAGTTACCCTTTACTAACATTTAAATGTACAATCAGTCTATATTTAAAACATAGGATACAAATAAATGTACAAAAACAAAATAATATATCTGTGCTCTTTATTACATTAAGTATTTAACAGAAGAAAACTTTGCAGGTACTTTTTCTGCTCTAATATTGAAGCTCTATATACATTATTCAAAGCAACTTCTAGTCTACTTTAATTTCTTCCTCAAAATTATTATATACAATAAGATCGCCTATTAACATTAGATATACAAAGGAATATTACTCTACCATAAGGAAAATTTAAACTATATCATTTTCAGGAAAATAAATAAAACTGGAGGGACTGGGAAGGTGGCTCAGTGGTAAGGTACTTGCCTTGCATGCATGAGCACCACATAAACAGAAAAAAAAAAAGCCGGAAGAGGCATGTGGCTCAAGTAGTAGAGCAGTAACCCTGAGCTGAAGAGCTGGGAGACAGCACCTAGACCTAGAGTTCAGGCCCCATGACCGACAAAATAAATAAATAAATAAATATACTGGCAATCATCAGGTTGACTGCTATGAACCAAAATCAAAATGCTAAATACAGTATGGTCTTACTCATGTATGGAGTGGACACATAAATGATGATGATAATGATAGTATTTAGCAGACAACACGAAGTTAAATGCAGGACCTTTTAAGAGTGGATGGGCAAAAGGAAGAAGAGACAAAGGACAGGCTATTGTGGAGCACAGAGGATAA